TTAAGTTAGAGTGAGAGTATTTTGGACAAAGCTTCTCAGGAGTTTCTTGCAGTCCACCTTTTCATCAAATTTCCTCTTTAAACAGAAATTCGTCATCATATTTTCCTTGATGTACTTAATTTTTTTAGAAGTATTTACCCATAGGCTTCTGACAAAACTATTCGAGAATTTCTTACACTGTTTTAGTTTTCATATTGGGCGCATACTATGAGAGATTAAGCAAGAAAGAATTAAGTAAGAGAGAGTAAAGTTAAACCAGAGGCATTCGATAAAGCAGCTCAAGAGTTTCTTGAAGCCTTCCTTTTCATCAAAAATTCCTTGTCAAACAGAAATACGGTTTTCCAAATTTTCTCCTAGTATTTTTAAGTTAACCCAGAAGCTTTTRCCGTCCACCAGACCACAGCAGTGTAGGTCGACCTTTCCAATTTTTACCGTTTCATCAAAATTACCTATTAAAACAAAATATGTCGTCCAAATTGACTCAACGCATACTTTCCGGAACCAAGAGGGAAAGTTTATCCTCTTATTTCTTAAAAAGCTGGGAAAGGGACACCTTAACTGCCAGCAACTATCCGATAGAAGTTTTGAATGGGCTTTAGTGAACTTTTAGACGCTCAAACTTACTTCTAAAAATTCACTCATATATTCTATCACATACCATACCTACCATATCACTCAATGGCTAACTTCGTAGGGACTGTATCGCAAAGAAAACTATTTGTTTATATGGAAGACGAGCCTTCTGCTTATGCCGTACTACAAAGCGCTGGAGACTCTAAAATTTCGAATATGAAGTTGTAAATAAAGTCCGTAAGACGAGATCAGAAATCATGTAGCCGCGCGTTTTCGCCAAAACCGAGTTCCTATGGCTTTAGGGACAGACTTGTCACTTAGAAAGATCTATCAGATGAGATCTTTATAAATCAATGCTGTTGATTTAGGCATTGCATTTCATTTACGCTTCAAATTTCATGCGAAGCACACCACTGTGCGTCGGCTACTCATCTGACCCAGCAATATGTCGCGCTGTGAATTCTTCTTCGGTTAATTGGACACCACACTGGCGACCACCAGGTGTGTAGCGTTGCAATTTGCATCGCTCAAGCCAGCAGTGTAGCAAAGCAATAACAAAAAATCCAAAAAACAACAAATATTACAACAATTAAAACAACAAAAAGGAATTACAGCAACGGTAAATTTAGAACAACAACAGACGGTATAATAGCAAAATTACAATAACAACAAAAATTGCAAAAACAACAAACTATATAAAAGGAACAACAAAAAACACAAATTATACAAAACCAACAACATTTTCGACAACAACAAGAATGTTTAAGTAAACAACAAAATTGACAACAACATTTGCCAACCTGCGGTGGGTTACTCAACATACATACATTTGTGGCTTGGTGAGGTTCGTGTTTAGTCATAAAGTGCACTAAATAAATTAATGTTGTCGTCATCGTCGTCGTCGTCGTTGGCGTTGGCGGCGACAATTCTTGTTGTTGGTTTTGTAATTGCCGGTGTTTTTTGCACCGCTGTGTGCGTTAGCATTTGAATGCGAACAATTTCCACATGCAATTTTTGTTTTACCCCCATCTAAACACAACTGCAATGCAATATGCCGTGCAACTGCAACAACAAAAACAACAAGCAACCCATACAAAAGTCATACACAGTCGATTATGTTTGTGGAGCGGCGCTGGCGCTGACGCTGGTGCTTTGGGTGATGTTTTAGAATTAATGCGTAATTGCAAATGGCAAACAGGCCAAGTCGTTATGTCAACTCAGCTATGCAGGTGCAGGAAAAGCCAGCCGGAACCACATAGGTACTACATACAAATAAACTAACAAGGATGTGTCTTTGCATGTGTGTGCGTACCAATGCAACTGTGTGTGCGCACCGGCGTATTTGCGGCATAAATAAAAATTTKTATAGTTGACTTTTAGGCGCCTTAGCTTTTTATGTGTCTACCGTGCATGTATGTATGGTGGCTATGTGCGCTAGTATGTGTTTATTACATACATTAGTGCATTAAGACTACCATATAAACGTATAACTGTACTCTAACACACCCCTCACTCCTTTATGCGCACTTTTCTTCATTACCGTCTTCTTCTTCGTCTGCTTCTTCGCCGTCGCTTCGAAGGAAATGTTGTCGTCGTTAGTCATGCGTTGCAACAATTTGCTATTGTTATTGCTTATGAGTATTGTTGTTTTGTTTTAGTTTTTTGCTTGCTTCTTGTTGTTGCATATCCTGTTGTTTACCAAGTTACGAGTATTTGCAAAACCGCCAACGGCTAAGTGCGAAATTTATGCTTTTAATTAATTTTCATTAATTATGTCATGAGTTGGCTGAGCCGGAAGTCTTTCTACAACTCGGTTGTGTGTGCAAGGAGGCAAGCAAAGCCAATGCGGTGAGCGGCAGTTCATTTCAGCTTGTATGGGTTCATAAGAMGTCAGCGGTTTGGCTCGTTTATGAATTGCCAACTCTTTTTTAAGCGAGGTTTTGTTTTCAAATCTCTTTATAATTGCTCTCACATGCAAATTTGGAGTGTGGCGCAGGTTTATGGGTTTATTAGCCCRTTAATTCAGTTGAGTTGTGACGTGATAGCCGGATTTCACTAAGGAAAAGTCTTAGATGGGTTCTTGCGACTTGTACTAATGTATATAAATCCAGCTCAAGAAGTCCGTTAAAACGTTTATTTTGACGGTCGAAGATCTAATCACTTCGCCAATTGGAGATTCCAAGTGTAGCCAATTCCTTCTCCACCTACTCTTTCCAACGGAATGGAGCTTTTCCTCTTCCACCGGCCGGTACTGCTCTTAATTCGCTGCCAAATGTCAAAGTCAACGTTTACCTCATACAGCTCAGCGTCCATCGATTGGTCAGGCTGACATTGTTGATGGTGTTAATATTGGTTCTGGAATTATTCTACAATACACTTGTACGACCTCAAACGTAGTCTTTTTGAATTGTCCCTCAGTTTTTAAGATATCGATCTGAAATTTTGCATATGTCTTTTTCTCCTCAAGAAGCTACTCATATGTCGGAATTACTGTTATCGAAATACTACAGCATATACCTGCCATACAAACTAAACGACCGGAATCAAGTACTTCTATGAAAAACTTCCTCATTTGACGAGACATATTCAAGAAATTTGGCATAGACTATTGACAAAAGCTAAACTAGAATCTCCAAGCAAATTATTCAGATCAGATCACTATAGCATATAGCTGTCATACAAACGACCGATCGGAATCAAGTACTTACATGGAAAACTTCCTCATTTGATAAGATATCTTCATAAAATTTTCCATAGAATATTGTCCAAGGCAAAAGTACAATATCCGAAAAAATTGTGCAGATCGAATCACTATAATATATAGCTGCCACAAACTAATCAAACCAAATTAAGTTAAAAATCTTCGAATATCCTTTTATGCTATAAGAAATACACCTGTGAAGGGTATAATAGCGTAGGTACTTTTTTTTCCTTTCTTTGCTTTCAAATCTGCATACGCAGCTTTAATATTTGACGCTTTTTGCAGTTATCAAAAGTATTGCATATTGCCAGGCGCACACTTTGCGCCAGCAAAATACCTGAACGTGTCACTGTTTATTTCATTAAGTGCAGCAAACTGGATTAGCATAAGCAAACACACGCACACAAGCCACCAATGACACATGCATACTCATATATATACATATACCTATATGTAAATGAAGCAAAAAGCGCATATATGCAAATGTGTGGCATACCTTCGGCCGCTTGTAATGTTGCGCAATTAAGAAATGTTGCAATTTTATACGTTGAGTTGTTCAACTTTTATTTGCCACTTAAATAATATTTATGCACTTTACCCCCGACATGAATATGCAACGCCCCTTGCTACATATACACAAACTACGGTTGTTGTTGTTTATATTTGTTGTATTACATTTAAATATCGGCTTTAATGCAATGAATGTGAATCAAACAGGCGACAGGTGGATAAACTTGATGCATAGCTGGAGGAGAGTTGAATGTGCAACAAGGATTTAATAACCAAATTGCGTGATGGAAGCTATTTATATGCACACATACACATACATACATATATATATATATAAATACATGCACCTAAGTACGCCGCATGAAGGCGCAGACAGTGTTCATAAATATGCATTGTGAAAGACAGCTTAAGTCACTGTCAGGTGCAGAGATTCAACGACGACAAGCCAAGTCAATGAAAGGGTTTAACCTGCCATGTTTTTTAGCGTTGTGTGTGTCGCATGTTGGTATGTGTGTGTTTTTATGCACGTCATTGGCCACTTCCTTTGTTAAAGTCGGCAACGAGTCATATTGCCCATTTTATTGTTATTATGACGCTGGTGGTGCTTGATTTTACAAATGATAATGTGCCCGGCAAAACAAAGTGTAAACGATGGCGTGTGGCTTCAAAGACTTAACGCCGCTTGACGGTTGGATACATGCAAGTCAACTCGTTGAAAGGTGTGTCCTGATGTAATGCAACATGTTCAAGACTTAAACATGCATTGCCTGTCAAATGTGTATGTGTGTAAGCATTTACATTTGTATATATGTACTACTTCTGCTACTCAAGACGTAGCTGCTCCAATAACCGTACTTACTTCCACACCTTACTAATGTCTTTGTGCTTTTTTGTAAGAAATATTGTTGAGTTGATTGCTGTTAAAACTTACTGAAACGTGGCTGTGTTTACGTGTCCAAAAGCAAATATTTATATTGTATGTCTTGCAGTCACTAGCTTGTCTTTTTGACGTGCCTGGGCTTGATTACATTTAATGGTTGTGTTTTCCTGTTTATTACGTTACAACGAATGTTAAACGGTTTTTGATTGGAAGGCGCTGACAAATTTAAAAACAAATTTTCCAGTTTAAAACTAAATTATGTAATGCACGAACTTGCAGTGGAACCCACAATTGTATTATTGTTATCTTCAATATTTCTTCAATCCACTTTGAGTATTAAAGTATAAAATACATTATTTTTATTATCATATTATATTAAAATTTTCTACAACACCCAACTCATGTAACATACGGATCAATATCGTGTGCTTGCCGCATCGACTCTGCTTCCGCACCTACTGCACATGCCATCAATGCATTCACCGCTGTCTCTTCGCCTGCCTTATATATATAACCATTAGCCTTATCGATGTGATTCCGTAAGCGTAGCAAACTCGCTGTGCTGCGCGCGTTGAGCAGTTGAAATGACACCAAAGCATAATCCTCCACCATCGAGCAGATTGCTTCGTTTAATTTGCGATATTTCTTCATTGTTGGTGTATCGTCAAGTGATTCAAGCAAATACTTCAAATCTAATACGTCTGTATAGTAATCTAAATTAAATTGCAATTTTGATTCATGTTTTCGCAAAAGATCGGCTTTTGAGAGCACATTCACATGTGGCAAGCCCATACGCAGCATCATATTTAAGGCGAGCAGCAATGTTGAAACAAATTTCGTTGGTTCAGAACAGTAATGTGAGTCGATGAGATTTACTGTAACCAAATGGTAACCTTCCTTTTGCAGACGCGCGAATATGGCCGACATAGCAGTGTGATGTGTGTATAATTCTACTTGTCCCGGGCAGTCAAATAGAAAGTAGTTGCATGTTGCCGCTGCTTTGCGCAGCTCTGGTAAAAACCAATCTTCGAGATGTGCTTCTAAAAACTCTGCACAATACATTAGTGAACCGTTTGGACCCAGGTGATATTGCTCCATAACATCTTCCACTGTGATAAGTTGCATTACATCGATTATTGGTTTGTATTCCATATTCTCGTTCGCTGGATCAAGATTAACCACACCGACTTCACGTCCCAGCTCTTTGTAGAAATTATAAGCGTGATGACAATATGTAGTTTTACCCGAACCAGGTGGACCAATGATCAGTTGTCCATAACGTGGATTCACGAATTTCACCCCAGGTGTTTGCAACATTTTCAAACAAAATATTAACAGGATAAGAAATTTCTGCAACAACTGATATTGGAAATAGTTTGTCTACAATTTTGTAAACAAATCAATGTGTCAAAAACAGCTGACAGTCGGTTTTCAATAGGAAGCTTTCCGAAAGTAAATTTGATGGAGACTGTTGGAAGTAGAATTTATAGATTTTTATTAATTGTTATTATTATTATTACTATTATTATTAGTGAAASGATAATACAATTAAACCTTAAGAACACTAAAAGAGTCAAAATTAACCACTAACTTATTAAATAAAAATAAATCTACTTAACTAATTGTATTACATTACAACACTTCAAAATTTATGTTTAATTTACTTATAAATTTAATAAGCTCTTTTATTTTAAAATGTTTTACAGATGTTAATAATTCAATTAAGTTAGGGTTATTTAGTTCTGATCTGACGCATTCTAATGATTGAGAGTTTTTTGTGAGTTAATCTCTTTGACCAAGTTGAAAGCACTGTTTCCTGGATATTGTTGTAGGAAAGATTGGAAGACATATGTATATATATATATTTTTTTTTTCAAGCTCACTATATTATCAATAAAAATTTTTTTTTTTATATTAAATAATAAAAAAGCTGTTTAGAATGTTAGTCAAAATTTCGTCTTTCAACATGAGAGCTCCGACACCTGCCGGCAAATAGTTACATCAAATTAAGCTCGCTTTACTGACCTTATTTTGTTGTTTTCTTTTGAGAATTCTCGTCAGGCAACTCTGCTTCAAATAGAATTCAATCAGTCTTCGGCAACACTGCACTGTGGCAAGGCGAATAATTTAGTTCACTTTTGTTCGGTCTAATTTTGGTGGTATCAATTCTTTTACAGCAAAATAGTAGCTTAAGAATATAATTTTTCTAACAAAGAGCAGTTTTAGTTTTTGTAAAGTGCATTAAATATACCGAAGAGCAAACATGGCACAACCCCAAAAGCCAGCGTATCAAAATAGTGAGTTGGCCGGTTATATTTTGCTGAAATAAAACATATAAAGCGAAAAAAGTATGAGTCAGTGGGCGCAATCGGAGAATGGGGGGCTATAGCGGCGACAACAACAACATGTTCCGTTGAAGCACTATATGTGCTTATATGGGCAAAAAATAATGCAAATACGTTTACGAACATAAAGCGGAAGCAGTGAATTACTTACAACAATTTTATTTGTATGCGAGTGATAAATAGACAAATAGCCGGCTTTTGCTACTATAATTTGTCTCCCCTTGCTATCCTTCGATAACAAATAAGCAAAATTATATATATACGTGTGTGTATCACTGTGTTGTGTGTTTTTTACATTTATGAATATGTCACTTCCTGTTGAGCGCCCGCTGTTCATACAATTTAATTATAGTACATTTGTACACATAAACAATGATATACTTAAATAAACTGTGTTTAAATTTTTATCATTGTGTTTTTCACATACAGAATTCATATATGCCACCTTGCCACGCACCCAACGTGGCCAACCTATTGTATTGGGTGGCGATCCTAAAGGTAAGAATTTCCTCTACACTAATGGAAATTCGGTGATTATTAGAAATATTGAGGTGAGTTCAATATAATTCAGATATTTTATTGGCTTAACAACTAGTTTATACATATATGATGTATTATCTTAACGCTTAGATTTTAATTCTTGGTATATGTCTGCCTTCTATCAACAAATACATTTATACCTTCTATAATTTTCCATATATGCATACGCTTATGTATGCTCAAACTCTTTGCTATTCCGACACCCATCTCAAATTTAGTTTTCCCCATAGCTCCTATGTGTTTAATGATTATTTTTGTCTTCTGGCAGCTGCATTCGAATGAAAATTTATTAAACACTTCGCTGCCAAGCAGAAAAGTGTTCCAACACTGATTCCAATGGTGTTCCCGGTTTCATTTGTTTGTTTCTTCTATTTTTAACAAATTATCTTCATCTGCAGTAAGGCTATAAGTAAGAATACAAATAGCACAAAGAAAAACAAAACATTTTTGGGAAAAGAGTATATGGACATAGTGAATATATACAGTTTGTATACATACATATATGTAGTACATATGTATATGTGTATATAAATAAATGTTATTTCAGTAAATCCCACGCACATCGCGGACAAATGTTCACCGCTAGAAGCTTCAAATTTTCAAAAATATTTTTCGTTTAAATAAGTCATACATATGTATATAAAAACGTGAAAAAAGATGTATTTATGAAAAAATTAGATTAAAAAAATACGTTAAATTACCCTTCTCAAATACAAACCATACAACAACTTGATTTTTATCATTCATATATATAGTGATGTAGATATAGCGGTCCGATCTGGAAAAATTTCTTCCAAAACTATGGCGTAATTTTGGAAAATAATCCAAGTTTTTAAAGATATCTGTTCAAATAAAAAGTTTTTCATATAAGAACTTGTTTTCATAAAATTTTCTAGTAAGATTTCTTAATACATAATTTGTTCCTATATTTATGTTTTAATTGTTAAATATATCAAAATATCCTATGATAATATACAAAATTCTTTCATTCTACTTTCATGCTTTTCTTCGATTCGTATACAACAACAAACACATTGTCAACGCTAATTTTTCAACGTTAATTTTATTTGCTCCGATTTGCTGCTCTGCAACACATGCACACACATTTATTTTGGCCTAAAATTAAAATGAAATGTGTGGACTTCTTTTGGATGCACACGCAATCATACAACCAACTAATGCCTGTGTGTACACCAAAAATTGCCGGTCCATTTGTCCAATTCTATCAACCAACAAATTTTCCACTGACAACATTTCATGCTGTTGTTGTTAAATTTTATTTTTGTGTGCTTTTCCTCGAAACTGCTACGGTTATATGCACTGATTGTCGCCGGCAGAATCCAGCCATCGCTGATGTCTACACGGAGCATTCGTGCGCCGTTAATGTGGCCAAATATTCGCCAAGTGGCTTCTACATTGCATCTGGCGGTAAGTACATACTACATATGTACATTTAAAATTATAAACACACTTTTCTATATACACAGTATATTTTCATTGTTAGTGTAATGGTAGCTAATGTAATGTGTATTTGGTAGCTTAATGCAGTTTATGTACCTACTAGATGTACGTATGTGCTATAAATATCCATCAAATACCATTTGGTTTGAAAGCATCACAGTCGCAGAAATAATAAAAATGAGTTTATAAACGTTGCTAGCAAATATCCAGTTTTATGATTATACATTTCGTTTGTCATTTACTTTATTTTTGTTTTACAAGCTATTTTCTTACAATTTGCTTTGATATCTGTTACATAGTCTGCTTATACATAATTAATGTGCAACTTCGCTTGGTTAACACCTTATTTGGGTTATACTGCTGGCATTTGATTTCATAATTATAATTTTAACACCAAAATTCGTGTGTGACTCACGCTTGTATCGGCAAATGTAAGCATACTATATACCTGAACGCTGATAAAAGTTGGATTGAGGAAATATTTTTATTTTGCAATTTTATTATGCCTTCATAGCGTGAAATCGTGCTAGAAGTTAATAAATTATAAATGCTATTGCGATAATGATAAAAAGTCAAATCAGTTTCAATTGTAATTATACCATTTATTCTTTATCTATACTAAAAATTTCAATAATTTCCAACAATAAATACATATGTATATTGTTGAAATTCACAGTTACTTTTGAATTGTTTGTATGTAAACTCGATGTTTTGTGTGACTTTTTAGCTTAATTTTCGTTACGCTCCCATAAGCACACTCGTTTAAATTTTGCAACGCCTAATTGCCAAGTAAGCCTTTCTCTTCTTGAATTTTGTTGAAAGTATTTAGTATTTTGTTACTACAGCTCTACAAATGATTATTCACCGATTTAGTGAATGTTATGTCGCTACTATATMTTTAAATAAAATAAAATGCTCATATTGTGCATTTATGTGTGTCGGACTTATGTGCTTCGCTGGAAAATCCATGCAGCTGCTGGTATTATCGCATCTGCTGGCGTTTTAATTGCATTGCCTTTATATTTTCATGGCGAGAACTTGMATTAATGCGCTTAACCAGCATAAAACGTTTGTTGTCCATGCATACATATAACTGTTGTTGATGTCTGTATGTAACAACGTCGCAGCGGCACTTAGACGTCGCCGTTTTGAATCGTAGCACAGAAACAACAGCCACCATTCTTTTGCTGATGATGCTTTCATTGGCTGCTTTATCTTTGTTGTGCTTGAAACGCGGCTTTTTGTTGATGAGTGAGTCATTGACGCGCAGCTCAGCGGTTGTTGTACCGTTTGTGTTTTATTTATTTAACTACTTTCTCTATTTCCCCCCCTCCCGAAAGGTTTAATATGCGCTCAAGCATAAAAAAATTTTATTACCCATATTCATTCATAATTTCTTTTTATTGCAATTTTACTGTTAAGTATTTAGTTAACGTTTTTGTTACACACATAGCTGAGTATGAGAACAAACATTAAAAGCGAAGATAAACAGACAGTTTAGATAAAACACTTGCTAATGCATATACACTTGGAAACGATTGCACAAGCTTGCATAGATACATGTATGTACATATGTATGTACACATACGTAGTCTTCTCGTAATATTTGATTACTAATTAATTATACGCTGGAAAACTCGGTGATGCTATAAAATATATAGTATAACTGTTGTATCTATAAATGATCAGTATATGTATGTATATGCAAACTGTCACCTCAGTTTATGAGTTATCGATCTGAAATTTTGCACAGCTCCCTTTCTCCTCAAGAAGCTGCTCATATCTCGGAATCGCCAGTATCGGACCCTTATAGCATATAGCTGCCATACAAACAACGAAAATATTTAGTCTTTGTATGAAAAAATTTTTTATTTAACGAGGTATCTTCGCRAAATTCCGCACAGATTATTATCCCAAATTACAACACCATATACCAAGAAATAGTTAAGATCGGACCACGACAACGTATAGCGGTCATATAAACTGATCGTTGAAATTCAAGTTATTTATTTTCCTAGAACTGCAGTTAGAAGCGTAAGGGATTAAAAGCCTTAAATGAGCGATAAAAAATATTTTTGCATTTTCGATTATTTTATATACGCGATAACGCAGTTATTAGTGACGCAGTTTACTGCTAGGTAGATAAAAACCGCACAGCTAATAGCAAACAAACAAATGTTTTAAAATTTATAACACACAAGTAATGTTAAAAGTAGAATTTTATAAGTTATCTTATAAACCTAATTACCTTACCTCCAAACATTTTTAAATTAATTTTTTCCGATTTTGTTTTTTTCACAGACGCCTCCGGCAAAATACGCATTTGGGATACCGTGAACAAGGAACACATCTTAAAGTGTGAATACCAACCAATTGGCGGTCCTATTAAGGACATCGCCTGGTCGCAAGACAATCAGCGTATTGTTATTGTCGGCGAGGGTCGTGAACGTTTCGGACATGTTTTCATGACCGAGACCGGCACTTCAGTCGGTGAAATTAGCGGTCAATCAAAACCGATTAATTCTTGCGATTTTCGTCCAGCACGCCCCTTCCGTATTGTTACTGGTAAAAACAAGCAATTTTATCAATTGTTCGTTTTTAATAATATATTTTATACACAGGCAGCGAAGATAACACCATAGGCATCTTTGAGGGTCCACCTTTCAAATTCAAAATGACTAAGCAGGAGCATTCGCGTTTCGTACAGGCTGTACGTTATTCACCTAACGGTAAATTTTTCGCTTCGGCTGGTTTCGATGGCAAAGTCTTCCTTTACGATGGCGCCACCTCCGATTTGATTGGCGAATTCGGTAGTCCTGCACATAAGGGTGGCGTTTATGCTGTGGCATGGAAGCCGGATAGCACACAATTGCTTACCTGCTCCGGTGATAAGACTTGCCGCTTGTGGAATGTGGAAACACGCGAATTGGTCACCGAGTTCGTAATGGGTACCACCGTTGATGATCAACAAGTTTCTTGCCTATGGCAAGGCGAACATTTGCTCACCGTATCTTTGTCGGGTAACATTAGCTATTTGAATGTTGAGGACCCTTCGAAGCCGCTGCGTATTATTAAGGGTCATAATAAGCCAATCACTGTGCTCGGGTTGAGCGATGATCGCAGCACCATCTATACAGGCAGCCACGATGGCGTGGTAACGAACTGGAATTCCGGTAGTGGGGTGAATGACCGCATTGGYGGGGCCGGCCATGGCAATCAGGTAAATTTATACTTTACAAATATGTGTTGCATTACATTTAATTTTTTTTTTTGTTTGTTTGTTTGCAGATCAACGGCATTGTCGCCTGGGGCGATTTCGTCTACACCTGCGGCATCGATGACAGCCTGCGTCAAATAAGCGTTGAAAGCAACAGCTACACCGACTACGTGGTCAAACTCAATTGCCAACCACGCGGTTTAGCGATTTTCCGCAACGAAAACATAATCGCACTCGCTTGCGTCAAAGAACTGACACTTGTACAGGACAATAAAAAGGTCTTCTCACTACCAATCAAGTATGAAGCAAGTTCGATTTCGACCAACCCCGAAACATTGGATGTGGCAGTGACCGGCGACGATCACAAGGTGCATGTGTACACGCTGAAAGGCACCACGTTGGAAGAGAAAATCGAGCTGCAGCACTTGGGACCGGTAACCGATTGCTCGTACTCGCCAGACAATAAGTATTTGGTAGCTTGCGATGCGAATCGCAAAGTCATACTCTATGCCGTCGAAGAGTATAATGTGAGTAATGAGTGGATAGGAAGTTATGTAACAGAAGGTTGAGGTTTATATGTATTTTTGTTTTAGCTTGCACACAACAAGGAATGGGGCTTCCACAATGCGCGTGTCAATACAGTGGCTTGGTCACCAAATTCGCTTTTGGTTGCTAGTGGCTCGCTGGATACCACCATCATTATTTGGTCTGTAGCCAATCCGGCCAAGCACACCATCATTAAAAGTAAGTAGTATTTCTACTATTAAGTTTTGTAAGCCAATGTTAAATTATTTTTATTTTATTTCTTGTGCAGATGCTCATCCTCAATCGCAAATTACACGCTTAGTCTGGTTGGACAGCAACACGGTGATCTCTACTGGTCAAGATTGCAATACCAAAGTATGGGAAGTTGAAACTATTTAAGTTGAAAACTTAAAATTAAGGAGGAGCGGAAAAACGCAACGACTACTTTAATAGATTATGACTAACCACCACAACCTAGCCGCCGTTTGCTTTGTTTACTTTTATAATGTTTTTAAAAAGATATACTTTAGCAGTAGCAAGTTCAGCAGCTCCAAAGATTTTTCTATGCATTTTTCTACACAAACGCAGCTTTTCTCATCATACTACCGTCGTCGGTCCTCAATATGCCGCCAAACAACTAACTTATCAGCTGCCAAACAAATGTATTATGATTTCTGCCACCCCTAATTAAGTTCTATAGTGACAGTCTCTGTTTTTTTGTTTTGTTTGCTAAACGTAGTATGTTTAACAAGCTTGTTGTATTTGTATTAATTCGTACAAGATATTATGTACTTTATTATTTTCGGAAAAACAGCRATTTACTTACCACGTACTTTGTATGATTGTTTAACCCTTTGGTCTTAACCCTTAGGCAGCCAATCATTTATCATTCAATTATCTTACAATATACATTAACGTCGTGTAGGAATAATAAATTTCATTTATATAACATCTTTGTAATACATATACAACTATTTATTTTGCATTATAATATTAAAAAAAAAAAGATATTGCGTGAAATTTTGTAAAAATATTGTCGCGCAGGCGTACGCAAACTAAAATAAAGAAAATATTTTGCAAAAAATTAAAGTGTTCTTTTTCAATAGTGAAAAAAAAGATTTTATTGGGGTTTTATTTGGAAGCCTGCTTCCACCTAAATTTTTTCATATGTTTCAATCACTTCGGTCACTAGTTTTGATTACAAGCTAGCCTGGTCGCATCCTAATCTATAACACTAAATTCATATATRCTCGTTGCATACATTTAGGATCATAACATAAGGTGAAACATATGAATACGAAAATATTCATGGCAGGGTCTCTCAGCTATGTTGAGGTGAATTATATGCTTTTAACTAATTTTTTTAGATTTATTAAATTACAATAATATTTATTTTGTCCCACATACTCACATTTACAATTACAAAAATTCGTTTTTAAAAATAAAACACAACAAAAATWTTTTCAAAATTCATATTTTTATTAAACATGTCTAATTTTATATAAAATTTAAAATATTAAATAAATTTATTTTGTCTTTTTGTGTGTGTTGTTTGTGTATAAAAGTCATTTTCTTTGTATAAAATGTACCTTTTTAACTTACAGTCTAATTTAGAGTAATTTTGTGAAACCTATTTAATGCGTATGTATTATTCAAGTGCATACATATACACATCTGTAGATGTGTTGTATGGCTGCGTAGATGTACAAATTGATTAACTTCATTGTCTTTCGTTATAATTGCTTGTAATAACAATTGAATTACAATATTTAAAAAATAATTGTTAGTAT